AAGGGGTCGCTGATCACGAATTTTGAATCTGAAGTCCAATTTTCAAAATTCAAGATGGCGGACAAATTTTCAAAAACTCATTAGATTCGCTTGAAACTTATTCTTCAGGGATTTTTGGAATCTGATTATAAATCTGAAATCCATTTTTCAAAATTCAAGATGGCGGATCTAATATCGCAGACAATTTTTTAAAAACTCATTAGATTCGTTTAAAACTAGTTACTCGAGGGTGTTTGAGGTCGCTGATTATGAATGTGAAATCCCATTTTTAAATTTTAAGATAGCGGATCGAATATGGCGGACAAATTTTCAAAAACTCATTAGATTCGCTTAAAACTTGGTAATCGAGGGTTTTTGGAGTTGCTGATTATGAATCTAAATTCCAATTTTCAAATTTCAAAACTGCGGATCCAATATGGCTGACTAATTTTCAAATAAAATCTCATCGGTCCTTTGAAATTTGTTAATCACGTTCTTTAGCCTTAAAAATGTTTAAAATATTTTTAATGTTGCCAACTTTCACCAATCGAAATGCCTATTTTTGCAAACATAATTAAAAGTTAAAAAAACCGGGCAAGTGCGAGTGGAACTCGCACTGAAATGGCGGGTTCTGTACACTAATATTTAGATCATTTGGTACCAAAAAAAGTTATTTCTAAAAAAAAATGTTCTGAAATTAGTTTTATGTGATCAGTTTGTAAAAATACACTAGTATACTAATTTTTTGCTTCTTAGGTCAAATAATATAGAAGTTACATATCAAGTTCTCTATAATTTTCCTGTAATATTCGCGTAAAAATACACCAGCATGCAAAATTTCAGCTCTCCATGTTGAATAGTTTAGAAGTTAAGAGATGCATTTTTGAACAAAAATCTTGTTATTTCCTTGACAACGCTACGACAATCACGTCCAATCACATTCGCTATATTTTTCCTGTAATCTGCGAGTGAAAATACATATCTGGATCAAATTTGAGCTCTTTACCCCCACACACAGTGGGGCAAAATGTAGTAAGAGGCGTCAAAATTCTCTAACCACGTCAATTTTTAATGAAAATGAATGCACTTTGGTGGCATGAAGCTTCTTAAGTATCACAGAATTTGAAACCCTTGCCGCATTTTCAAAATTCAAAATGGCGTCTGTGCTGTAAAGGCCTATATTTGGTTATTTTCGTATTTTTTAAAAGCTATGAACATTAAAACTGAATCAATTTGCACAAATAAATTCTAGAAATGTTGCTAAAGGTATATTTTGCGACTGAGGCCTAAACTCGTTAAGAATCTGCATTGCAACTTTCAAAATTCAAAATGGCTGATCCAATATGGACGATCAAACGACAAAAATTCTTATAAATGCATATTAAAAAGAATTATTTTCATGAAAGTCTATACTCCGAGGTTATTTTTGCCGCTGATTACGAATCTGAGGTCAGATTTTCAAAATTCAAAGTGGCCGATCCAATATGGCGGTCGAAATTATCAAAACTTAGGCAAATTATTCTGATACTATGTATTCCAACAGTTTTCGAGTCGCTGGTTACGAATCTGAGGTCAGATTTTCAGAATGGCCGATCCAATATGGAGGTCAAAATTATGAAAAATTAGGCAAATGATTCTGATACTCAGTAATTGCGAACTGACGATTGACAATTTGATGCTTCTGACGTTTTTAAATTTTATTCTCCATTTTCTCATTTATGCTATTTCTTAATTACAACCTATCTTCAATTATTTTTTGTTAATATTTATTACTTTGTTCCTTCACATCATATTATGTTCGGAATTATTTTATTTTTAAATTGAAGCTTCTCAATGTTTACTGATGACTTTTTATTGTATCTATTTTAATTTTTAAATTAAAAATAAAAAATATCGAAAGATATTTTGACGGAAAAATTAGAATATAAATTCATCTGTATACAGCTCTGCGAATTTTGAATCTATCATTTTTGATAGATACAACGAATGAAAATAATGTACTCAAACAACTTAAAAAAGATCAGCTCGACAACCTCCATTAGTGCAGAAACTGATTCTTAGAAACAAATATCAATACTCAACAAGTCCTTCCTTCATGTTCTAACGACCATTTTGAATTTTGAAAGTCCGACCTCAGATTCGTGATCAGCGACTCGAAAACTGTTGGAATACTGAGAATCAGAATCATTTGCCTAATTTTTCATAATTTCCACGGACATATTGGATCGGCCATTTTGAATTTTGAAAATCTGACTACAGATTCTTAATCAGCGACTGGAAAACTATTGGAATACTGAGATTTGTCTAATTTTTCATAATATCGACCGCCATATTGGATCGGCCATTTTGAATTTTGAAAATCTGACTACAGATTCTTAATCAGCGGCAAAAATAACCTCGGAGTATAGACTTTCATGAAAATAATTCCTTTTAATATGCATTTATAAGGATTTTTGTCGTTTGATCGTCCATATTGGATCGACCATTTTGAATTTTGAAAGTTGCAATGCAGATTCTTAACGAGTTTAGGGCTCAGTCCCAAAATATACCTTTAGCAACATTTCTAGAATTTATTTGTGCAAATTGTTCCAGTTTAAATGTTTATAACTTTTAAAAAATACGAAAATAACCAAATTTAGGCCCTTACAGCACAGACGCCATTTTAAATTTTGGAAATGCGGCAAGGGTTTCAAATTCTGTGATACTTGAAGCTTCATGCCACCAAAGTGCATTCATTTTCATTAAAAATTGACGTGGTTACAGAATTTTGACGCCTCTTACTACATTTTGCCCCACTGTGCCACAGCACCGAATTAGTACAGTCCCGATTAAATAAATGTTTAGCGCGAAACTTTCCCGAACATTTAAATCTTTACACAATTTTCACTAAACTTTTCAGTTAAATATGCCGAATATTGCAAGTAAATATTTAATACATTTTTAGGAAAGTTTCGGTGCTGTGGTGGTAGGTCAAATAGTTTAGCCGCTAGGGGGGAAACGATTTGTCTACGGACGCAAGAGTCTCACCAATAGGGTTCCGTCAGTACACTCACGGTGTACGAAACTTTAAAAAGCATTTAAGTTTAGTTTTTTTAATTTTAAATCCAAATATTATAAACAAAAAAAAAAAGAAAAAAAATTTAAAAATTAAAAAAAGACTTTCCAGTACACATTTGCCTCCACGTCGTAAATGTTGGGCAACATTGAAAATAAGTTAATTACTTTAATATATGGCTAAAGAACGTGATCAACTCATTTTAACGGACCGATAAGTTTTTATTTAAAAATTCGTCCACCATATTGGATCCCCCATCTTGAATTATGAAAATTTGACTTTAGATTTTGAGCCACCATTTTATTTTAAAATTTTTTCTATAGTCCTATCTTGTAGGTTACATATTTTTGTCACGTTATTTGTAACATTTTGAATTTTTTTTCTGCTATTTCGTAGTAGAAAAAATTGAAAATTAAACAAAAATTTGAAAAAAAATCAGACTTTTTTTATAAAAAACATTAATAACTTTCTTGTTTATAAATTTTTATTTTTTTATAACGCCATGCGATAGAACGCTTATGAAAACGAAAGAAATGATGATTGATGAATATTTCTGTTGATTTTTAAGTACCGAAATAAATCCTCAAACTTCATGCCATACTTTTGTACATTTGGGCGTTAAAGGGTTAAAAAAAATTAATTACTGGTTCCAAACTATTGCTAGAACAATTGCAATTAATATCTGGGTCATTAAAATTAATTTAATTCACAATTCATAAAAAGTAACCACAGCCGAAAATCAGCAGAAGATAAAAAATTATTTTTAGAGCGAACTGTATCTTCTGTTTACTAACAATTGTTAGTTTGAATTTTGTTCCTGCTTCTAAACTATTACTAGAACAGTGACAATTATTGGGCCGTTAAAATTAATTTAATTCACAATATAATAAAAAGTAACCACAACCGATAATCAGCAGGAGATGAAAAATTATTTTTTGACCGAACTTTATGCTTTGTTTGTTAATAGTTGTTAATAAAAAAATTATTTACTGTTCCAGGTTTTTCTAGTATTTCCAGGCTCTGTGTCAACCATAGGTCATACTATAGTCAGCCAATTTATTGCTGACAGGTTTCCATGGTAACATTGGAGTGTGAGAGAGATAAAAACAATTGTTTGTCTTTCTCACTCACGAAAGTTACCATGGAAACCCGTCAGCAATATATTAGCTGAGAATAGTATGACCGTACTTTTCGAATGCAATGACATGTTAAGTCAATAAACGGGAGTTTGAAAAAATCTGGAAAAAGCATTCAGAGTAAAAAAATAACTGGTCGTAATTTTTCAATACGGTTTACACGTAAAACCGAATTAGGCTTAAGTTACCACCAATTCTGTTCGCTTACGCCAATTATTTTGTGAACATATGACATAAATTGGAAATGCTTAGAAACAAATTATACTATAAAATACGTTTTGTAGAATATGTAAATTTAAATAAATTCTAACTTCTGGTCTAAGAGAAATTATGAGAAATAAAATATTGTAGCATAAGATTCTAAAATACAATTCTTGAATAATTTTATGTTTATACAATTTTGTAGAAAATGCGTAACATATACACTGCAAAAACAAGTGTCTCATTTTGAGACGTTTTGTCCCATATTTGAAACACATAAGATGTCTTAGTCCACATATTTGAAACAGATATGTGTCTCATTTTAAGACGTTTCAAAGTGTCTTACACATTTAGCAATGCATTTTGAGACACGAAATGTGTTTCGAGTATCCGTCTCACACTAAGAAGACGTTTTACGTGTCTTATACGCATTGAGTTACCTTTAATGTCTTAAAATGAGACACGAGATGAAATTAAATGTCTCACTATAAGACAGATTTTGTATCTCAATAGTTTAAACACTTGAAACAACTCATTTTAAGACACGAGTGAGATACCAGTTTTTGCAGTGTATTAATGAAATTTATAAAAGTATTCTAAATAATAACTTAATAAAAATATTTGTTTACCTTGACACATTATTGTTACGATGTGGAGAATGGTTATAATGAGGCATGGACTCTTTCTATGCTTTGCTGCCATAGTAATTCTAATTATATATCTTCAAAGCACTACACCTAAAAAAATAAAAATTGCTTTAATTAAAAGTAAAACAACAACATCCTAAAAAATGATAAACTCTAAATCTACATTATTTAAAAATCCACTAAATGGTTTAATATGTAGCAAGCTTACTAAACAAAGCAGTAAAATGTATGATACAACTAATAAATGAGTAAGAATTCCATCGCTATCCAATACGTATATGACAGTCTACTTAGGAGTAATTCTTAAGTTACATAAGATATTCAGGGATCACAGAAAAAAAGATAGTATAAATTTTGTTGTGGGGAATTTTAACCAATGCTAATTCACATAGAAAGTGGCGCCCTCACTTAGGTGAAAATTTGTTGCAGCGAATATATACCCCAAAATCAGGTTAAAATTTAAACTTTGTTTTTCTAGTGATGAAAGTGATCTAGTCATTTTAAAAAGGATTGTTGGGTTCCAATTTCAAAAAAAGTGTCCTATTTTTATAACCCCTTAGTAAAGTTTATTGAAGACCCCTTATGTACATGCTGATGTACAGGAAGTTTTAACTGGGGACCATATATAGTGATATTTGGACGTCGTTCGTTCGTCGAACTATAGTTACGGTCGCTACGGAGACAGCATTTGCAGTGTTTCAAGTAATGCATTAAAAAATAATTCAAATTTTTCTTTTTCTAATTGTAGGGTCTAGGAGTATGAAAGTAGGGTCTACGAGGTTTAAAAGTACGGTATAGGTTTCTTAGAAGTAGACCCTCCTTTGCTTCTCCAAATGGAAGATTGGCAAATTTCCGCCTGTTTTGGGAGTCAAAGTAGGGTCTAATTGTATTAGAATTAGACCCTACTTTACTACTCCTAACACTCAATAGACCCTGAAAATTCAGGGTGAAAGTAGGGCTTAAATTTCGACTCAGGATTACTCTTTAAATCTGAATCAGTGAAATTCCTCTGAAAATCAGTGAAATTTGACTGAGCATCAGTGACTCTATTCTCGCGATTTGAATCAGTGGAATTTCACTGAAAATCAGTTAAAAATAACTGAAATTTCAGTCATTTTCCACTGATTCGACAATTAAAGAACTACTGAAAATTTCAATCATTTTAACTGATCTTCGGTGAAATTTCACTGATTCAAATCGCGAGAATAGAGTCACTGATTCTCAGTCGAATTTCACTGATTCAGTTTTAGAGAGTACAGAGAACTAGCAAACAACAGTATAATTCTAAACAAGGGGCAAAACGTTTCGCCCCTTGTATCGAATGATATTTTTCTTTATAAGTGCAGGCAATTGCTCGTTTGGTAAGCACTTGCAGTAGATCAACATGGACGATCGCCTCACGGTGCGAATAAACCATGCGCAAAGTATTTTGTCCCCAGCTACACTTTGAGCACAATGTTTTGAGCATCGATTGGTGGGATTGTACAGAATCGCCCATTTTGGATTTCTTACAGTCGATAGCGAACGTGGGTTTTGTATGCACGTACGTATCAAGAAAACTTCTATTTTATCTTTCTGGCACTTTTGTATAATACTAAATTTTATCCAATTATAAAAACAAATTTTTATATTCTGTCCTTCACATGGCCTATAATAGATTTATACGTATAGTTATTACATCTGTTTTAAAATTGTTAAATAAGGGTTTTTGCTCCAAGCACCTATTCACTATTTTTTAATCGGGCGCAAACTTTAATGAATGCCCATTTCGATTATTACGTATTGAATTCCTATTCAATAATTTGAATCGGAATTACAATTTTTTATTGCCAGGTTCACAATATGGTATGAATAGGAAATATGTGATTAACGACCATTTTTCTAAGGTAAAATACAAATGTCAAATTTAGTAGAGATTATCAGATATTATACATATAGGTTTTTCTCAGATAGTTGATTCTTTAGTTTGTCGCTTAGAGTCCTTGGTTAGCGTCCGACAATCCCAGGTTCAATTGCAAGTCCCTTTAAATTTCTTTATACAAATCTTTCACTAAAGCTAAGTTCCAAAATGAAACTATCAAGACATAACTAATAAAAATTGAACTTTAGAAAGATTTCCAAATTCTAATCATACTTTAAATGAAAACATCATACGAAACGTTCCAATACCTTACATAATGTCGGATTAAATATAAGTTCATTTTATTAGAATGCAGAAATTATTTAATAGTATTTTGTTATTATCGATGAATAATAATTGTTGTTAATAAATATCCGACTGTAGAATCATGTAATTTATACTTTAAAATAATACTCTCTTAAGAGATGAGAATTTAAGGGTTCATACCAGTTTACACGCTTGAAAATGAAGCTATTTTCTAGAATTTTTTTTACGATTCCTATGAATTATATTAATCTGCATTTTTTTTAGTTTAATAAATACACTCTTTAACTTTATAAAAAACCTTATTTTATTAAAAAAAATATTATTTGTTTGTTTAAAATTTAACAATAATTTTAGAACTGCTAAAAATACCGATGCCAGCTGCGGGATTGATTTCTCAGGTTAGAAAAATCTAAAACACAAAATTCAAATTGATTTATCTTCACTAGGACTGTGCCTATCGCCCGAACTAGAATTTTTAATTTTTATGCAAAAATAACAAAATGGCGGCAATTTAAATTTTTTTTCTCGAAAATTAAAGTTTTTTTTGGCAGTTTTTCGGTTCAAAAAAATAGTAAAAATTAATATTTTTAAATAATTCTAGTTCCGGCGATACCCACCCATGTGACGAAGATTTTCGTTAAAAAAATTTTGAGAATCGGTCTAGTAGTTTCCGAGAAAAACATCCCGCAGCATGGAAAAATGTGGTTTTGAGAAAAACGCGTTTAAAGTTTGTGTTCTATACTTACATAGCCGTGTACGCTCTCAAATAGCATTGAAAAAAATATATTTTGAGTGGTGGGATCTTTCTAAAAATTTTACACCACATTTTTGACATATTTTACTTTCGAAATGCATAATAAAAAAATTTTTGTTTTTTTGAAGATGACAAAGTGGTATGAACCCTTAAATATTCTAAACCGCATTAATATATATTTATCTTCAATCCTGTACAGAATATTGACTAAATCACTTTTGCATGCAATCTAAAAGAGTAATTGTTTTTTCTTGCATTTGATACTGAATAGGAATTATATTACACAGAGATTTGAATAAAACTTTTATTACATGGAAATTTGAATAAAGCTTTTATTAAAAGGAAACTTAAATAAGATTTATATCCCATGAAACCTTAAATAAGAATTATATTTCATCGAATTTCGGAAAAGAATTATATTATAAAGAATTTTAAATAAAAGTTATATTACATTAGTCTTAATTTATTATATAAACGGCAATGTGTTTATTAACATAGATTATGTTTTAAATAAAAATTAGTTTGACCTCTCTTTCTGTGTAATCTTCCCATTATGATATGGGCAAATATAATTAACCAAGTTACAAAAATATCCAAAAACAATGCTTCAATTAGAAGAAACCAAAAAAATTTCAGAATTTTTATAAAAATAAAAGCTTAATTCCATTTGACAGCATTCCGTCACTCGAACTAGATTGTCTAACACCGTCAGCACACCAAGTGCATACAATTTAAGAAGTTAAATGTTATCTTTGGGGTTGCAGTATGATCCTTAGGCGGATAAAATAATTTGTCTCCAAGATTAGGGCTATAAAAAGTGACCAAAATGCAAACCAAGCATTAAACCAACATTAAAACTAATGTTTTAATGTTGAGAAGTGTGAAGACGGGAGAAAATTTACCAATTTTATTCAACTTTTGTACGGGGTTTCAAAGGTGCATTAAAGAATCCATTAAAGTTGTTACAGATGCTGTCTTGAACGTGGTTGTATAAGTTTGCGATGGTGCTGCGACAAATGTTAGTGCTATCAAAATACTGATAGAAGACACGAAGAAAATTCGTTGATCAGAATATGGCATGAAGAGTAAGTGATTTTATCTAAGAAAGATTTAAAAATTTGTTCTCTTTTAAAATAGATGCAATGGTCAAACGTTTCAAACCAATTTCAAAGTCTGCTCACAGGGTTACTGCAGGTCAGGAAAATGCCAGGGAATTTTATCAGAAGTATTGGGATTAGAATTTCGTTCATAACCGAATTTTAATGATCATTCTGATTTACTTATATTATTTTTATGTAACTTCTTTTAGATGGTACATTCATTGTCAATGAAACTAAGGTTGGTCCTCTTTTTAATCCGGAGTCTCTACTACAACTTTTACGCAATAATCTGCTTAGTAAGAATCTGGAATTAAATTTCCAGAATGGAACGGAAGAGGACCTTCGAACTTTTGCTTCAATGTTGCCATGAATCATGGCAACATTTGATAACTACGTATGAAATCGATCTGTGCAGTAATAATAGGATACAGTCTATGAGACGTTTAACAGATCAGCACGTTAATCAGGAAATAATAAGTAAAATGTAGTGAAACATTGCATTCAGGTATTCAGTGAAACAGTATCTCCTACGATACAGGCTTCAACTGGTGGAGTAGCTTTGAAGACTACCTTAGGCGAACGAAAAACTCCAATTGAAGTAAGAAATACTGCAGGAATATTTAATTTTCTAAACAAACTATCAGACTGATAGTACCTACCATATAAGCTTTTTTCAAGATGCCTGTGGAAAGCTTTTCAGAACGCGATTTGTTGACATGGTTATCGAAAAAACCAGTAATAAAACAACCATCAAGTTGCTCTCTTGACTACCAATAGCGTTAAATGCGTTCTACATGTAGGCAAACGGATGTACCGGAGATTAAACGAATTGAAAAATTTTTTACTTAGATCACCAAACTCAAAAAAATAGAAGTTGCAAAACAAAATACAGCAGGATCGAGCAAAACTAAACCTCATTCTAGAAAGCGCACTCCAAAGCAAAAGAAACCGATTAGATGAGTTGCAGACTTTTATCTCGACATCAAAAGAGCATAATTAATATTAAGACGCATTCACCACTCTTAAATTGAAAATTGCATTAATTTTTGTTGAAACGAATTGAAAATTA